ACGACGACGACGACGACGACGACGCTCTTACTACGAAAACCTTGTACCCAAAATAAGGTGCTTCATTCTCTCTCAATGCGGCTAGATGAGCAACAGGCAAAAGTGTCACACAAAAGTATGAGAGATTGCCTCTCTCACCACACTGACCAGTTGAGCAGTATGAACCTCAGGAAATGTAGCAGACATATAAGGTAATTTACGCCTAGGCTTGGTCGCCTTTGCTTGGTCTCGGTGGCTGTGGTGGATGACTAACCAGCAGTCCGCAGTCGGATGTTAGTTGGATCAGAGAGAGAGAGAGAGAGAGAGAGAGAGAGAGAGAGAGAGAGTCAAGAGTCAGACAGAGGCTCTGGAGCAAGTGGAGGGATCCGCATCCCCGTACGAAAATACACCGACCGTAAGGTAGAGATGGGATAAGGTAAGGAAGGTAACAGGGGGTGAAAGAAGGTGTAAAGGCTGCCCGTGGACATCAAGTCAGGGACCTAAGGTGGAATTAATTAGGTTCTTCCAAACCGGCTCCAACCTAAAAAGAAACAAGGTGTTGGTTGGCAGTTGGGGCCCTGGACTTTGGAGAGTCGAGACATCAAACGGACGAGAGATCTGCGATTATTTCGCTCCTTTGTCTTTTTCTTTTCTGCCAGTTCTAATCTACCTGCTTTCTAAGGTTGACTTGTGGCCCCGTTGTGGAAAAAAATCATGGTGAGGCTACCTTAATTGTGAGGGAGAATAAAAGAGAGAGACTTTGTCCGTGGGCATTGTCAATTTCATTTTTGCCAAGAATCATTTCCAGATACTTTGGACGAGATATATAGACAGCTTCTTGTTTAATTGATTACTCTGTGGATTGGGTATATCCTCCAACCGTTGCAAAATCAGGACACGATGATGAGAATTAGTGAGTACGGTGCCTACACAGTAAATTGTAGTTGCGATTACCCATCTGCGCATCATCGGCCCTAAGAGGATTCGTATGTACCTTTTGGTGTCCAAGGTACCTTGCCTGGCCTTGCTGTGAGGCGAGGCGCCTGCCTCACAGACGGGAATGGCAGCTGGTCGTTGCAGAGGATCTCCAGCTAAGAAAAAAATCCCAACCCAGACCAGCGGCAGGAAAGGCCCAGGAAAAGTCCCCTCCCTCCACTCCCTCTTTCCCTTCCAATTCATTCGTTACCCACACCCTCCCCCTCTTATCGTCGAGGTACCTAGATACCTGGGTGCCTCAGATCACGCCCCCCCCCCCCCCTCACTCTCCCGTCACTTCTCTCTCTCTTGTGTGTGTAGACTCTCGGTCAGGCCCAATCACGATGTGTTTTGATCCCATTCGGTACTTGCCTAACCTTGCCGGTGACTGATACTTGGCGTCCCGTTGCTTCTGAATGACTGCTGAGAGAAGAAGCGTGAAGGTGTGTCCGCCCAACCCAACTACCCTTTCGTCGAATTCGTGCCTGTGCCTGCCTGCTTTGCTCTCTCCTCGCCGCCTTCCAATCCTGATTACATCAGTCTGGGCTGCCATATGTGGGCAGCAACGGGCGAGCGAGCAACGGCGATAAGGCATGGTTACACAGAGCACGCTTCTACTTTCTCTCACGCGACCAACGGCTGAGGTTGTCTCTCTTTTGTGTGTTTGAGGGGCGGTGCTTCTGCTTCTTTGCTCTCGCCTTCTTTTTTCATCTTTCTGCTATTTTGGATCGCTCGTTTCCTGGTGGGCGTGAACTACGCTACCGCCAAGATGCCAGTCGCGATACCAGGCTCGGGCAGATATCTTCAACCTTGGCTCTTTCCCATCAAACCAACATCATCATGAGGACCAAACAAGCGGCATATCTACCTAGGCATGTTCTATGGTTTCCCGGCCGTTTTGACCAAGACCAAAAAAAGCATCATCCTTCTCTCCATTAGAGCTTTTGGTTGTCAGACCGTTGAGTAGGAAAAGACTGTGACTGGCTGGACCGCGCGCAATAAGGTTACGTCCCCAGACTCGTCTCGTTCCAGCCGCGTCGAGCTGCACATACTACAAGTATGGGTGTAGCTCAGTTCTCGACTCAACCACCACCACCACCATCACCCACCAGCTTTCCTTCTTTCTTCCGGATCCGAATCTGGCCTATGACCTCTCGTCCCTGACTAAGAAATAGATTTCAACTCGTCACCCTACTCGCAATCACGGCTTCCCGCTTTCGATTGCATAGATGGAGGGCGAGCCCGTTGGCTGAAATGATGGTCTGGCTAACAACCAAAACACTCTTGCTGTCAAGATCGCCAAGCGGCTCCTATCCTCACCAACGCACAGTATCAAAAGACTCTATCGAACCAAGCTTCGACCGCGCAGCTCATCTTATCCACCGCGGAAAACGAGTTGTCAGCATCACGGCTGCAAGGCGGGAAAGTGAATGACTGTTAACGGACCAGCTTTTGGAAGGGGCTTCTTCTTCTGCCAAACAATCGTCCGGCCATGTCAGAAAAGCAAAGCGTCTCCCGCTGCGCTTGGCTCCTTTTGCGGCCCCTCGACTCCAGACCATCCCCGTCCCTCCCACCTGGGCCATGCCACACTGCTTTTTTTTTCCAATGTCTCTGCAGCAGCACCCGGCCTAGACATGTCGCAGACGTGCCGCACCTTGTACCAGCTGGCGGCGCTGCACGCCCAAAACGCACAGCACCGATTGACAGATGCTGCGAGAACCGAGAAGGATAGACAGACAGACAACCTTCAGGCACCGTGTAGGGACACAGATGCGGACGCAGACACAGACACATCCAGAGAAGGCTTCATCAGATTGTGCCAGGTGCCCCACTGCCAGCCGCGTACCTTGGCCGCCAAAATAGCACATCCGTTTCAAGTGTGGACGGCCCAGCAGACAACAGACGGGGGGGGGGGGGCTTGACCTGGATCCGTCGGGCCAATCTTTGTTCAACATGTCTGTTTTCGCACCGACTTCTCGCCTCGCCCTTACTGCTACTCGATTTAATGAGCCTGAAGAGAGTCTTCCTACTTACCGCTTCTTCGATGGCCACTAGAACCCCCCCCCCCCGGCAGCTCTGAGAGGCTACCGCCCTGTCATCATATAATCATAAGCCATCGCCATAGCGCATGCTATTCAATATACGCATGACCAAGAGTTTTGGCAGAAAGGCAGATTGTCCTCCTGTGTCCCCATGCCGCCAGCTGTCCAACGCCTTCACCAAGTGGCCGCTCGCACTACTATCTGATGGCGTGGGTGCTCGAACTAGCGACACTCCCGGGGGGGCCGCCAGATGGAAGAGGCGCAGGCTACTTTGTACTGGCGTGCGCGTGGCTGACATACAGTCTCGGTCAAGTCGATCGCCTCACTAGCACATCACCCGTCCATTGGCGATGCATCTTCGGGGTCTTCTCAGCCCAGCAGGGGTCGGCAACACCATCAGCCAGATCCTTGATCCGGTAGACAGCTCCAATGGTTCGAGGCAGCTGGTGTGCGTACCAAAGCTGCGCTGAATCTGTTTCTTTTTTTCCCCTTTCGTATGCTACGCTTCGATAATGGCAGTCGTCGAGCGAATCTCATCCTCAGCTGGCACAGTCCGGGGAGGATACGAGAGTTATTTCTTGCCCAGTTCAGCTCGGAGAATTGACCGTTGTTCTGAACTTTTGCTGTCGACGTTCGTGCAGACGTTGAATCGTTGCTTCCTATTATTGGCCCGTGTCTGCAACGATCACCGCCAGGGTTCCGAGCGGCAGTACAGAATACTATCGACACTATGGGTTGAATCCTGTCGCATCAACCACTTCCTCTGCAACTTGGGCGGAAGATACACTCCTCTCAGGTGAAGAGGTCTTTCAGGTCCATGAGGAACAACAATCAAGTCGGCAAGGGAACGTGTGCGCGGTCAACCGTCTGTTTCTGGTCCCAAGCCTTGCGCCTTGGGCCACCCACCCCGCTTCCCCAGCCAAAGTGGCTGACAGGCAGACAGGGTCACGAACATGTAGAAACGAAGCAGCACTGCTGTGAGAGCCTCCAAAGAACACGAAGGAATACAAAAACACCGCACAGCGAAAGCAGCGAGGTTAGCAGCCAAATACACAACGCCGCATCAGCTCGAAATATCCTGGCACGCCTGGTTGTCAAGAGAGAGAGGGAAAGGCGCGTTGTCGAGGCCGCTGTGCTCTATTCAGGACGCTGCGCAGGGATCGCCGCCGGGCTTGATGTTGCCAATCACTCCAGGGCAGAGTATGCAGCATGGAGAGTTAGCTACGACACCTGCCTTGCGACGAACGTTAGGCTGTGAGACGATATCTCTCCCTCCATCTATCGAAGGTCATCTAGGGAAAAGCAGACGAAACGAGTTCGAACAAGGTCAACGCAGCACGGTTGTAAAGCAACCCACCTACGTGCCTACCAACCTTCTGCCCGCTGTTGTGCTTCCACGCGGGAATCCCTGGCGTAGAGCGACTCACTCAATTACCTCCGCTTTCTATCCCAGAATAACTTGTTACCCCTTCTGGTCTTGGTGATCTAGATGGCACCGTTACTGTTGTGCGCTCGGGGTCGTGGGATTGCCACCGTGCTCTCCTCTACATTTGCATGTGTGTTCCCTCTAGCGGCAGGGCCTTTGGCATGAGATACACGTTAGAAAGGACGAAAGCAGAGACTTGGTATGGGCTTAGAGTTTGCGCTTTCGTTCCCGCTTGAACGGCACGGTCGAGGGTCATGCAGCCAACGAATTCGAGCGCAATGTGTTGCCTCTGTCGCCGCCACCGATCTTTTCTCTCTTCAAGGCCGAAACGATGCTCTAACTCGGGACCTTGAGGGCAATGTGAAGCGTCCCAGTATGCCTAGGCAGGATTTGGGATGCCAACAGCCCACTTGCCTTGGACGATCTGCGGGTCCCCTCCAAAGTTTCGAACTGCCAGTGCGGGAGCTAGCTACGCACAGAAACCTGTTGATATGACGATCAAGAACACTATTAACAAGAAAGAAACAAAAAACAAGCAACCAGTCAACATCGATCGACCTTTGTGGCCAACACGAGAGGGCTGCTGGTCTCCATCGGAGGACATGATGGTGTGAGTTTGGACTTTGTCATACCGGGCAGAGAGGCTCGATTGGCAAGGGAATGGCGTCACCAAAGACACCACCCGTATCTGACGACACACACACACCCCCGGCTAAGATCGATGGACATCGGGAACGTTTGTGGCTATTTGCCATCGCATCACCTCATCCAGCCAAGCATACGCATCGCGCACTACATTTGACAGCGGTCGAAAGAGCCACGAGTCCCTACTTGCGTGCTTACATGGCGACAGTTCGCAGGTTGCAACTGCTGGAGGCCATAGACAAAGGAAACAGTGTCCAACAGACGGCAGCTCTTTTGATACAGTCGAAGATGTGTGATCGTCACACTCAAATCGACAACCCGGGAAGGGCCAGGGGGCCAGACCCCCCGCCCCTTGTGGTGGGTCGGGCCCATGCTCGAGTCCCGGAGCCAGCTCCCCCATCTCATTGTATGTGGGTATCCCATGCCATGAGCCTCCATTAAGTATCGCGACAAGAAGCTGACGCTTGCGTGTGTCAAATATGCCACAGGCGAAGCACCGCTAGAAGAACTGCAAGAGACGCCTGCCAGTTTTTCCTCGATCAAGATGGAGCTTTTCACTCGTGTGCTGCGCAGGGGACATCGAGGAAGAGAGCATTCATGCCCCTGAGTATCTCACTGGAAGGTGACGGAAGCGTATGCGTGTCGCTGGGACGAGTGTCCACAGCGCGACAAGGCTAACCCCTGGTCAAAGGGACCGACCCAAAGAACCGACAATGATTGGCTTTCAAACTCGGTAGGCGGCACCTACTGGGCGAGGTGTGTCTCTTCGTCTCATTTGGGCCCGTCTCTCTTCTCCCTCTCAGTCGCCAGTCACTTTTTTTCTGCCCAGCAAAGACGGTGGGTTGAGATTACCACCGGGCCTTGGAGGAAGCCGTTCTTTGGCTCTTTCGGGTCGCAGTCCAGCCCGTGGCGAAAAGAACCACTTGACAGCAAACTGCAAACGGTTGCCAGCTGATAATCGAATATGTATACTGGAAGAGACTGAGTGTGAAGGTCGGATGTCAGGTCAGCTCGTCCTGTATTGGGCGATGCTACGATGTAGGCGTCTCTCATGCCCCCGCGACTGATCAGGTACTCGGTCAGGCGAAGGAACTGACTGCCTCATTTTTTTGCAGATTCCGATGCTCTTCCAGAAGGCGTGAAGAATACAGGTAGGCGGTAAACACTACCGCGGGACGAATAGAGGCCTTGAGTGCGGCTCTCTCTTCTGCACCGAATTCGCGACATCGGCATGCGTGCCGACGTGCGATAACCACGGAGTATCGGTACTTTGGCCGGGTGTTTTTGATCAACCCGCATCGAACGTGGAAAGCACAATGCATGGCTGGCTGACGGCCGCTTTTCTGACAAAGGATGGCACTTTGAGAAACATAATGGGCATTTCCAGACCCCATACACAGGACCTACTCAGAGAGCCGCCCAGTCTCTGGACAGAGTTGTCTGATGGCCACACATCGTTCGCTGACTGCCCACCTGCTCGATACTCTGCCTGATCCGAAGGGACCTGGCATCTGCTCCGTGCAAAAGAAAGGGCAGCTTGTCAAACCCGGGTCCGCGTTGGTCATGGAGTACCCCTGCTCGTTAGTTTTGACCTTGACAGGGGTCTGGGGCGGGCTGCGGGCAGCAGAGTGTGGTGGTGGTCGACCGTCGACGTTGCTGCAGGACTTTCGGACCTATGGACTCTGGTAAGAACAGACTGACAGACCAGCCGACTGCAGGTCTCGTGGCTGCGATTTACTACGGATAGACTACCGGTACGGCTACGCGACCTATTCATTGTTGTCTGGGCCTTGGACGGCGATCGAAGGCGTCCGCACAACCCTACATGAAGAGGGTACTGACACCAAGTTCGCCATACCAACAAAACTGCCTGGCAGGCAGCGAAGGCTCAGGGGGCCAAGAAGCTGCCTTGTACTCTCGTTGGCAGCCAAAGAGGCTGGAGACCTTTGTCCTTATTTTGGCGAGATGAAGATTGAACAAACCCTGGGAGCCCGCACTCTACGACACATACTGCAATATGTATCCATACGGATACCAGAGCAGCAGCTCTCATATGGACCTAGTATGCCTGGCTTGGGAATGGAGAGGTGGGGACGAGCACAGACAAGCGCCTGCAGGGCATCCCAAAAGGGGACCACGCCAATGAGCTTGGCTCTCCCGACCGGTACGGAGCTCAGAGTGGCCCAAGTCTTTTTGCTGGTGAGTGCTGTGTGGCAGCGTTGGGAAAATGGGAGGAAGTGGAGAGAGGACCGGTGACAGTTTCACCATGAGCTATAAGCCATCTGGTGTTTGCCTGGCAGTGGCAGCCCTCTCTGTCCTCCTGTCGTTGCTGGCTGGCTGGCTGTGCTTCTTCTTGAATGGCTGTGTGGCTTTATCGAGTCGTTGCTTCTTGTTTGGAGAAACAGCACCACCACCACCAGGAGGCACTGAGACAGATGGGGAGAGCGTGTGAGAGATGGACGGGAAGCATAATGGCTTGTTTGATGGATGTCAACTGTTGGTGTCCCATCATCCCGTCCACGGTCCTGCAAGGCGCTGCTGGGACAGTCAGTCGGTCTGGCAGTCTGGCTGGCTGTGGCTTGTGTTCAAGGAAATCCCTGGGATCGGCAGAGCCGGGGGGTAAGGAGGGAGGGGGGTCCAATTCCGTATCTGTCGTGCTGCAACGCCAGGTATCGGCATGGTGCATGGGTTTTACAGCCATCGACTTTGCCGCCACTTTGCGCGGGTTCGGGTGCCTTGCCTTGCCTTGCCTTGTCCTTCTTCTTTTTTCCCCTTGACCCTGGACTTGGGTGCTTCTTTTTCTTTCTCCCCTCCCGCCCTTCTCTTTCTTCTTTCTGCTTCTTGTTACTGTGTACGGAGTAGCGTGGGCAAAGTCTTCTGCAGCAGTTCTCCCACTTTCCCCCTCTGTTGTTCGCCGCCAGGCCAGGGGTAATAGACCTTGGCCTTGCTGTACGGATAGCCTATGTTTACTAGTGAAGAGGAGACAGACGGGATCCCCCATTGTGGGCAGCGGCACATAAGGGATTTCTTGTCAACGGTAGGCGGGAAAGTGCAGTCTGTTCCAGCCGAGCCGAGGTTGGTGACACTTTGCGGATGTTGCGATGGCAAGTGTTTATGCTCAGAAATTATGCTTGTGTGTGTGCGTGCGTGCGTACGGATACGTGTGTAAGAGGAAAAGAGAGAAGACGAGGACACGAGTGAGAAAGAGGAGGAGAGGGCACGCGTCAAGTCGCACACAAATACCACCACCGAAGCCATATGCTCTCTCCATCTACGACGCATCGTTTTTGATCCAACCCACACCAACTTACATCAACGGGAGAATTTTCCTTCTGGTGGCGTATGCAATCACCAAAGGAGGTGAGAAGTTGCTGACCTGACCCGACTGACCCTTTGGCTTTGCCTTGCTTCTCTGCCTTAGCCCGGCCGCGCCAGTACATTAGGTAGACTCACCTTGCCTTACTCTGTACATACACTACAGAGTACAGACTCACGGGATGGACGGGTAGTAGGGTGAGGTGAGATATGTACAGATACAAGATGTCCATAGTGCCCGAAGCGTGTTGGAGAGCGTCAGTACGTACTTTTTCTGTTGCCGGTCTGCGACGGATCATTCCAAGCAAAGTCTTTGGGGGCTACCACCACCACCACCACCCACCGATCTCCCATCAACTAGGCCTAACGCTCGAAAGCCGGTGGTGCACACGCTCCACTCCACTCTACATACCTACCCAGCTACCTAACGCACCTGGGCTGGGTCCCCCATTCCTTTTCGGCAGGTGCTGGTGAAGCAGAATAATCCCAGCTTTCGGCGCCGGATCAACATCGGGTTACCTTTTGACGACATGCGACCTGATAGTCCCCTCCCCTCGTGACCTTTACCAACGACTGAACGATTCCGCGAGACAGAGACTGAGAGAGAGAGAGAAGCAACGTCTGTGACATTATCGTGTTGCAATTGGAGAACTTGCTACCTTTTCTAATCTAGCACCCCTAAATGCTATCGGCCACGACCTTCTTGTGCCGAGCATCTGCCAGATCAATCAAGAACCCCGCCATCGCAGCCGTCACCGTCACCGTCCTTCGACGACCCCTCCAGACCCGAGCTCGATTCTCGACATCTACCAGTATAATGGCCCCTCACGCTGCCGCTCTCGACTTTGTCGACTTTGTCAACGCATCTCCTACTCGTAAGCACCCATTGACGCATTGTTTGCGTCGTGGACGATTTCTTTGTTTTCTACCTTACCCCAGCACCAGCACCAGCACCAGCACCAGCTAACTGTGCCCCTCGCCCGCAGCCTACCACGCCTGTGCGACCGCCGCCATCCGCCTCGAAAAGGCTGGCTTCACAAAGATCAAGGAGCGCGACTCGTGGAACTCGGCGCTGCGACCGGGAGGGAAATACTACCTCACCCGCAATGGCTCGTCCATCGTCGCCTTCGCCATCGGCAAGAAGTGGAAGCCGGGCAACCCCGTCGCCATGATTGGCGCCCACACCGACTCCCCGACCCTGCGCATCAAGCCCGTCTCCAAGAAGAGCAACGTCGGCTTCATGCAGGTCGGCGTCGAGACCTACGGCGGCGGCATCTGGCACAGCTGGTTCGACCGCGACCTCAGCATCGCCGGACGCGTCCTCGTCAAGGACGCTGAGGGCAACTTTGTCCAGAAGCTGATCAAGGTCGACAAGCCGCTGCTGCGCATCCCGACGCTCGCCATCCACCTCGACCGGAGCTCTACCTTTGACCCGAATAAGGAAAACGAGCTGTTTCCCATTGCCGGACTGGCCACGGCGGAGCTAAACAGGGGTAGCGGCGAGGCCGAGATTCCTGCTACTGCTCAGGGCGACGAGGCCGAGGAGGATTTCAAGCCGCTCAAGGCCATGACGGAGCGTCATCACCCTCACATTCTCGACGTCATTGCCTCCCACGCCGAGGTCGAGCCCGAGGCCGTCATCGACTTTGAGCTCGTCCTCTACGACGTGCAAAAGTCCTGCCTCGGCGGCCTCAACGATGAGTTCATCTTCTCGGCCCGCCTCGACAACCTCAACATGACGTACTGCTCCATCGAGGGCCTCATCGCCTCGGTCCGCGCCGCCGACGTGCTCGAAAACGACTCCACGATCCGCCTCGTGACCTGCTTCGACCACGAAGAAATCGGCTCCACCTCGGCTCACGGCGCCAACTCGAACCTCCTCCCCGCGGTCCTGCGCCGCCTCGCCTCCCTCCCGGGCAGCCGCGACACGGCCTCGGACGGATCGTACGTGGCCGTGTCCTCCCACGACGGCGGAGACTACGAGTCGACGGCCTACGAGCAGACGCTCTCGCGGTCCTTCCTCGTGTCGGCCGACATGGCGCACTCGGTGCACCCCAACTACGCGGGCAAGTACGAGTCCTCGCACCAACCGGCCATGAACGGCGGCACGGTGATCAAGGTCAATGCCAACCAGCGCTACGCGACCAACTCGCCCGGCATCGTGCTGCTACAGGAGTGCGCGCGCCTTGCGGGCGTTCCCTTGCAGCTGTTTGTCGTGCGCAACGACTCGCCTTGCGGAAGCACCATCGGTCCCATGCTCAGCGCCAAGCTCGGCGTGAGGACGCTGGATCTCGGTAACCCGCAGTTGAGTATGCACTCTATTCGCGAGACGGGCGGTAGCGCGGACGTGGAGCACGCTATTAAGCTGTTTGAGAGCTTTTATGAGCGGTTTGGGGAGTTGGAGGAGAAGATTCTCGTTGATTAAGTAGCCCCCGTTTGGGAGATGGCAACTGAGGTCTTTTTCGGTCATTGACTTGGCTTTGACGAGATGGTTGTGGGTGTAGTTGTAGTCGGTTTGTAGTTGTAGTAGCGAATTGCCTTGGAGTTGTTTGGGTGATTGGAAGGAAATACAAATGTTAATTGAGTAAAGACGACCTCGTCTCACCGGTGTTAGAGACTGTGTCCGTTTTTGAGAGACGTGGAAGTGATATGTGATGAGTGAGGGATGAGAGATTTGGTTGAGTTTGGCGTTATTGCTTTTGGCATGTGTGGTTAAGATGAAAGGAGGAAAGAGGTAGCTGGCTGGATGGCTGGCCGTTCCTTCCTGCTTCCATCTTATCTACAGATGGGATCTCTGTTGGAGCCCTGACGATTCGAATCTTGGGGTTTGACGGGCAGCCTCTATATATTTTTCTCGTTGACTACCTTCGAGATCTTTCAAGCGTCCTCCTTTTGAAAACGCGACCGACTTCAACCCCAACTTCGGTTCTACCACAGCATATGCTCAACATATGCTCCCTCAAAACTCCGACTAGTACCGAACCCGAGCCATCGACTTGAGCTTCTGCTTTAAGTTCCCGAACACCAGAACATCGTCTTTTTTGAAACGGATTTGGAAGCGTGCTCGTGATTCGAGATTCCAACTGCGGCGAAGTTGAAGCCCCTCGCGATATATTTGGTTTCTCAAGGTGCGTTGGTTTTTCATTTCCATTTCTCTTTTCAGCCCCTCATTCATCTTCGCTTTCGTCTCTGCACTCCGAGACTCGAGATCGAGGCATATTTTCCCTATTCGTCCCTGGCGACCATACTGGGAGATTGCCTTCACGCCTCAGGAGATTTCCCCTGCCTTGCCGGTTCATCTTTGCCCTCGTCCAACCACCCCAGACCCCCTCGACGCCAGAATTTTCAATCTCGAATCTTGCCTCATTTTTTGATTCTTGGTTGGTGATTTCTCTTCCCCATCCAAAGCTAGGGTCGCGAAGCCTTCTTCTTTTTGTACATCCTCACCTTCCTCTCAGCGCCCTTCTTCACACAGCCCATCATTTGATCGAGCCTTCCCTTGCTCTTAACTCAATCAAACATACCTCATACCCCACAGAGGACTACAAATACCTTCCTCTTCCTCCACCTCCCAATCTCTTTTTTTCTTCACTCTCACCATCACCACTACTTCCTTCCACTGCCTGGTACGATATCCCATACACCTGACAGAGGACTACAAATATCTTCCTCTGCCTTCAATCCTCTTTCTCCAATCTTCTCACCAACCACGCCAATTCATTCCGCTGCCTGGTATTACATCCCATACCCTTCACCTACCTAGACCATCGCCAAGTCATTCCGGACTGCGAGTTTACTTTCAAGGCGCTGACCTCACTCTTATCTCAGATCTTCCGGCGACAAATCAGACATCTTCTCAGGGGAAAGCGTCTGAATCGATTCCTTCAACTGACACTATTCTTTTCGGTGAGTTTTAAACCCGCCCCTATTTTGCAGACTTCTGTAACGCCTGCCCTTCGACAACACCCTTCTACAAAATTTGACATCCTGGCAGGACTGCCCCTCAGAATACTGAACTTCTTCATGAGATCGACCAGTTCATAGCTGACTTTGATAGGTCTAGAAGGACAAGTCAAGCTTGAGCGATCCTTCAATCTGGTGAGTTTCTGCTCTGTACTCGCACTTTCCCCGTTCTCTCCCCGAGGTTCCATTTTCACTTTCACCTTCCATGTTTCAAGCACCCTCCAGATTCAATCCCATTTCCCTTCACCTTCACCCACATTTCGTTGACACAGCATCCATTCTTCTCGACAAAGACTCCCAGCTCCTCGCGCACCAGTCTTGCTAAGCACTGCAGTCACAGTCGTCAAGAAGATCTCTCCTCCCCAAGACTTTGCTGACAGACTCTTGATACCCAGGCCCGGCTTACCCCAATATCACCTCGCTCACGAGAGCCTGAATAAACCACATTCCAACAGACACTGGAACGGCAGCTTCCGCAAGGAAATCTCGATCTTGCCTTTCATCGACCAGAACAAGAAACGGAAGAAATCCCGGCACCTTTCTTGGCCTACAACCTCTCTTGTACACTCAGCTCAAGTCAAAGGACAGCCACGACGCTTTCCAAACCTCCTTCATCGTCTTGAAGATGGTCACCTGCTCCTCTTAATTCGGCACCTTTACTCCTACAGTCGACGACCCTTTCAACGGTCCTTCTTGGCTAATCAGAAACTAATCTGATAAAATTCACGACACGACCCATTACTACCTATCAAAGTTGGACATTCGACCTTTGACCTGGACAAAGACGATTGCCTATACGTCATCTCCAAGCATATACCACCATACAACCAAGATCACCATTGAAGAAGATCAGGTATAACCACTCACTCGCCCTTGTGCTTTGTAGAAATCACTAACAAGTCATGTGAGCCAGTCATCGCAATCAAGATGTGCCAAAAGGTCTTTTACACCTATGCGTGCCAGCACGTTGAGTGCGTCACCTATGACTGCAGCAAGAGCTGTGGATCCACAAGATCTGGCTGCATGAAGCGCGAACCATCCGAGCACACCACTCTCAAGGATCAGATCTGCCACGACTGCAATGAGATAATCAGAAGCATAAGGCAGAATCGCCACGACAATCGCCAGGACGCCAGAGGTCGATCAAGACACTGGGAGCATCGGATTCGCCATTACGAGCACCTCATGAACCGTGCTCAGACAATCTTGGATCAGCAGCAGGCTTCCCAGGCTGAACAGAGGCAACAGTCGCAGCAGCCACAGAACCGTCCAGATCAGCAGTCAATCTCACCCGGTGGCAAGACCATTCGCCCTCTGGAATCGAACAAGTTGTCCAACATAAAGCGCGATGAAAGCTTTGGCCTTGTCCCCAACACGCTATACCAGCTCCATGTGGCCCAGGACGCCTGGTTTGCGATTCAGCGCAATCGAGATGACCTTTGAGAGAGGCTTGAAATCTCGACAGGATGGGCGTTGGTTTTTTGGAGGGGACAGAATGGTGTCGCCAGCACGTTATGCCAGCAAGGATCATTTGCGCTTTCATTTGGAGACGAGAAAGGCATATCTTGCTCAGCGTATCAAGTGATTTAGAGAGAAGCTACCAGCGAATGCTTCCATTCATAGACCTATAGATAGAATCACCGACTTTATAGCGGTCATAGCAACACAAGAATACGATGGTTGTTGTTTAGTTCAGCTTGATCAAGACGTACTCAATGTAAAGCAATATTGAAAGCTTCGACAACAAGAGAAGGCCAAAAAAACATGACTAGGACAAAGTGGTCGATGAAATGAAGTTGTCCATCTTGGCGGCTCCAAGGAGCTGGTTCTGGAGAAAATATGGGTAGAAATGATCAACACGGCCAATTAGGAAGAAGCGCAGGGGTCTCTGGATCCGCCAACGAACCTCCCCGTGCTTCCCCCAGCTGACGGGGAGCTGTGAGGTGACAGCTTTAGGTTGCCTGCCCCGTGCTCTAGCTGAGCTTACTTGCACTAAAACACACGTGGGGAGGTTCCATAGCAGAACCAGAGCTGAGGCAAACTGACGTTGCCCCCCTAAACTAACTCGGCAAGGCCATCTGGCCAACTCTTTTTTTTCCGCATTCGTTCCAGCGTCATCGTTCTCCAACATCACGGCTTCTCCTCCTCCAGCAGACGTTGCGCACCTAAATCTCAGTCGGCCATGGTTCTTTGACGATTGATACGTGTACTCAGCAAAATCGAATCCTCTTCCCCTGAACCTCGGATTCCATTCTCCAGTCAATTTGCAGGGAACGTCTCCCCACCAAGACCACCATCAGATCCGCCAGCCATGGCTTCCCCCTTCGAGACCGCGAAGCTCACCCTCGACTACCTCCCCTACGCCTGCGAATTCGACCCTCAAGATCCGAACCGACTTCTCATCGGCGGAGGAGGTGGTGCCAACCGTAGTGGTGTCGCCAACAAGATTGTTCGTCAACCCCCAATCGCTCTTCCTCCCCCCACATTCATCTGCCTTTTCGTGCGACTGACCTTTTGCGCCGCAGACGGTAATCGACACCTCGGCCAAAGAAGAACTGCAAATCAGCGGCGAGGCCGACCTCAGCCGCAATGAGGACAGCGTCATGACCCTCGCCTCCGGGCCCAAGAAGGGCAGAACGAGCTACCTCTACGCCGGCATCAACTCGAGCCCCGAAGAGGTCGAAAAGGGCAAGAACGAGCACTTCCGCGCCTTTGGCATCGAGCAGAGCAAGGCGCGCGTCTCGGCTGGCGCCAACGCTCCTAGTGTGAGCCTGGCTGAACTGTCGCGCACCTCCATCTTTGCCCATAACGAGGTCGATAAGGATGCGTACCAGCGCGTCCTCCGGCTGTCTGCGCCGTACGGCGAGAAGCAGCTCGGTGTCGTGGCGACGGGATTGGCTAAGCAATCGCAGATTGCGATTTTCGAGATTGCAGCTGGGAATGCTACCAAGCCCAAGATCCTCGGACAGTTGGATGTCTCCAAGGAGCCCGTGGACGTGGATGTCATTCAGACTGGAGAGGACTCGTACCAGGTCGCGTACTGCGACGAGCGCGAGTTGTTCATCATCAATGTCGTTAAGTCTGAGATTGACGGTCCTCACCACGCCTACGAAATCAAGGAGGACGGTTCTGGTACTTGGCCCAACTTCCGGTCAATCCGGTACCTCTCGAAGGACTTTGTCTTGGCGGGCACCAACATTCCCAAGCGGGCTGGTGCAATCCTTTTGGGGATCCGACTGCCGCTCAAGGAGGACGAGCCTGGACGCTTGGCGGCGACGGTCAAGCTGCCCAAGGCAGTGAACCAAATTACAACCATTGCTGCGCGGAACCTAACTCCTCCCTCGGCTCCTGGTGCCAAGATTGGCAACGCGCAGTTCCTCGTCGCCGCGGTTGGTCAGGATCGGTCGATATCACTCTTCACGCTCGAGCATAAGGCGCATTCGAGCATTGATTTGCTCGTTGACTTTGATCTGCTTACGACGTTGAAGGAGGTGCACCCTCTGCAGATCACAAACGTCGCCCTCTCCCACTACGTCCCGCCCAAGACTACCGCCCGCCCTCAGTACATCAAGCTGGCGAGTATCTCGATGAAGAACACCGTCATCGTGCACTCTATCCTTTTGAAGAAGTTCACCGACAGGGACGCCCCCATCCGCAAGGGTGGTCCGCCTCGCCCTCAGCGCTACGCTGTTGCCCTGCAGCCCCGCAAGTGGTCCAAGACTTGGCTCGCAGCGACGACGGTCCTCGTCCTCGTACTCGCTATCCTCTTCCAACTCGGCCTCGAAACCATGGGTGCAGTCCAACCGCGCATCCTTCCCGGCGGAGGCTCCGTCGCGAACATGCCTAACGAGTTCCTCACGTCCCTCATCGGCGACGTCCACGCTCTGCAGGGAGACCCCATCGTCATCCGCGAGGACGTCGTCAGCCCCACGCATATCGAAGAAGACCCCGTCCCCAGGTTCCAGGCGGCCGTGCACGACGAAGAGGTGTACGGTCCCGCGGTGAGCTGGGAGGACCTGGCGCCGCAGCAGAAGAAGCTCTGGAAGGAGAAGCTTTCCAAGGCGGGTCACTGGACGCAGAATATGGGCGAGAGCGTGTTCAAGGGTATCTTATTTGGGGAGATTGCGGGGGCGGTGGGACGCGCTGTAGGAGGTCAATAAGGTGGCGTTCTCGGGCGTATTTTTCTGGTTGGGAGGGAGAGGCAATGAGATATATTATAAGATGTGTTTACGGAAATGTCGTTGATAGAACTTGTCCGGGAGGGCATGTACGATTTAATCACGAATTTGTACGATTTTATTGGAGAATGACTTTTGGAAGATGAGAGGGCCATTGCGTGAGGTTGGTGACTTGTTCTTTGGGATGTGGAATGATGTGAACTGATGTGACCAATTTCTGTCCCATATCAACCCCCCCCCCCCCCGGAGTCTCTAGAGACGGTAAATACTACCAGTGGCGCGAGTACAAGTTGTGCGATGTCTCATTGGCTGTATAAGATACTTTGGTAGAGATGGTATGGCTAGACGTGCGTTGGATGATGCCTTCAATATTTTCCCGGCTCCGTCCTGTTTTTTCCATGGTGGATTGGGCCGTCCCTGAGAGCATCACCATCCATCCAAGACGCCAGCACCTCAAAATGTTCATTGAGTGCAGGACGAAGCACCAGGGATCCCCCCCCTCCCTCATCTCCCTCATAATACGGGGAAGCGTAGAGCAACCGATTCCGTTTGCTACCAATGGGTCGAGGTTCACATCTGTGGGATGCTTATTCGGCTTCGGCGCATTTGAGATTGCTTTTCATTGGAGGATGTGGTTTTCGTGGGCACGTGTATACCGAGCCTCTGGGTTTCTGTATGATTGACGATTGTGCTGGTTGAATTTGAGCTGAATCCCCCCCCCCCCCCAACCCCCCTCTGGCCTCGTTTCGCGTCTGACAGAGGACGAGTTTTTTTCTTTTTTTGATTACTTTTTTTTTTTGGTATTTCGTGAATGGTTGAGTGTGGTTGCGTAGCTCTGAAGAGTCTTACCGTAGCTTTTTTTTCTTTTTTTCTGTTGAAAATAAATGAGAGAAAGCCCCCGGTGAGCCATTGGTATTCTGATTTGTGGTCACTTGTGACCTCCGTTATGCCTCCATGAGAACAAGACAGTTGCTACATCTTCCTAATCAACCGGAGCAGTCTACATGAGTGGAATGTTCCAACGGTAACATGACACCGCAATACATACATATAAACAGACGTCCATGTATGAGAACGCTCTCTATAAAGAAACCACGAGCGAGACGATTAGCTGTTTAACAGTGGAGCGCCATTGAATAGTCACTGCTGAGAGTCTCAACTGAACAAACGTATGACCCCCTCGTATCGATAGACGAGTGTCTTGCAGCTAGGGCATGGCTTGATGTTCAGACCCTTCATCAGTTCGTATGACGATAGCCTGGGGTCAGGGATGCCATTAAATCTGCCAGTTTCCTTGGATTAAATGTTGGTTACACTAATCGTCGTTATCTCCTGGTTATGATCCTTTTCCTGACTGTATACTTTTTGGGGGGGAGGGGGGTCAAACGGAGTTCCAAGGGGGGGAACAGCTTGTAAAAGGTCTTTTCCCCTTGGGGGTGGCTTACTGGAAAGATATCGGGACCGTCGCAGAGGAAATGTGCCTCGTTTTCCCCGCAGAGATTTTCTACAAGGGAATGTAACATCCCCACGGCTGGCTCTGTGTCTGGGGGAATGGATTCGACTTACACGATACTGTTGTTATACACTCATCTGAAAAACCCGGCCCGATGTAGACTTTGAGTTCTATCCAGTCACCTGGGGTACCATGAAGGAGAGACGTACATTGGGCCTTTGGCAGCTTATAGATGCTGGACTTGATATGTGGATATAGAGAAAAAACGAGGTGCGAGGTTGATAAAGAGCATTACCAAAGGGTTAGAGACTAAGGTGTTCTAGTAAGACAGAAAGTCAGAGCCGAAATGAAGAGCTTATTTGTACTGTTTCCTCTTGCCGAAACAGAAAATAAACAGGGGCATCACGACAAAGTCAAGAGTGTCAGAGGAGGGAGCTCACAGTCGTCTTTGGCACTCAACCCCCTTGATGATCATTTGTAAGCTCCCAGCACACCAATCTGCCCCTCTTTAGAATCAGACGCTAGATGCATGCCAGAATGAACGGGAATCAAACCTCAAAATTGTATCATATGTGAAAGGAACAGCCGTCATTCAATGTCGAAGACGTGTCGAGTGATGGGATAGCGCAAGTGTACAAGAAAGTACGAGGCTGTTAGGGATGCAGCACAGCAGCGTGTATTGAGAAACTGATTAGTGGTCTTGTCGTCTTCTCGACCTTGCGATACTCGACTTTTGATCAACTAGGTGAGTCGGCAGTATGTTTTCGGATACCCTTGCTGCATACAATTGAATGCTCTCATGCTCCAGTCACTGCATCAAAGTCTACTGTCATAGAAACCACGCCCTGCATGGTTTGGCATGGAGTCGAAGCGATTCGAGAGAAACATGTTATCTAGTTTAAGCAATATACTCACCATGGCCTGCTAGGACACCATCACCGCCTTTCTTTCGATTGCTCGATGTGCATGACCGAGAGGAGTCTTGTGTTGTAGACCGCAGCAGTGCGTGAATAGTTCCCAAGAGCCGTGGGCGTCTCTCGTCATCTGTCCAGCACGTTAGACGTCGCAGTTACCACGGGTCCTCATGTAAGTCATGTAAACTCCCTCACATTCATACAACAGCTAGTAAACGGGGAAAAAGGCTAGCAATTCAGTCTTATCTCAGCCATAAACCGACGCGGGCCGTTGGAACTTGATATCGACACAAACACACACACACACACACACACACACACACGGTCCACCGTCGCCTTCTCGGTGCCCAAACTACCACAAATTAGGTAGCTATTGCAGGCGAGAAAGGCAGAGAGGGACATAGATCATCGGCCGCCTCCAGTGAACCCTCAAGTCAGGCCACCCCGGCCAAACCGCATCCCAGGGAACGGGGTCACAATCCCAGCCGGCGGACCAAGACGGGAGCAGTGGAGACCTCGGCAGGTGCCGTGGAAAAAGGGTGGACCGTGTAGACAACCCTTCCCGAGAACGAGAGGGGGAAAGTGGGAAAAGGCTACGACGGGGACGGGGTTGATGTGAGGTCATCCATCCATCCATCCGTCCAGCCTCCAGCCTGCGGACAAAGGTGCCGCCGGTACAGCGCCGGCCGGTTGTTAGATGACGTGACACGGGGAGGGTGCGGGGTAAATCTGGTCACCAGCAAAAGACTCTCCAGTTTTGCCCGATCGTACCTGGTTCAAGTGGTCAAGGGGCTGTCAGGTTTTCCCCCGCCCGCGGTCCCGGGGCTTGCCGGCATTGGGTCGCCTTGCAGGTCGTCCAGGTGGTGGATCCCGGGTGCCGAGACTGCTGCGATTTTCGGAGAAAATGCAAGTGTAAGCTAAGGCAGCCCCGTAGCTTATCGGGGGTTGGAGGAGGAGGAGGAGGAGGAGGAGGAGGAGGAGGAGGACTGTACTGCGTATGCCTACCTTACTGTGGTAGAGAGCTTTGGAGGTGCGGGTTGGGTGTCAAAGGTGTGCCCACCTATCATCCTTCTTCTCCCTTCCCTCTCCTTGCCTTCACACTCCCCCTCCATTGTCCCAAAAAGCAAAAATCATGTACAAGAATTGGGTAAAAGAAAAAAAAGAAAAAAGGACGGGCCAGAAACAGGCAGTTTTGAACCAGTACATGGCGGGGGGCGTGCCCCAGTCAGGACGATGTAGAGGTACATCGGACCCCTCGAGAGCAAAAAAGGAAGAAGCTGGGAGAAACCTAAGAGTCAGTCTACTAAGACGACCGGGTCCGTGGTTCTCATCCGAGCAAAGGGGAATGAATTGTGGGAGGATTAGAGGGGAAAGAGAGAGAAGAAGCAAAATGAAGATGGGAAACAGCAAGGAAAGCATCAGCTCGAATTCCTCAACACACCCTCCCCTCTCTTCCTTCACTCCCCTTTTCCTCTTCCCTCTGTACCTCTGGTGGCTTGATAGCTGGCTCGCAACTGTAGAGAGTAAGATCATGGCTAGTAGGGTAATGGTCTTCCGGTGGTCCAGCACGACCCTCCCCACCAAGAAGTAGGCTAAAACTTGACGCAATCACTTTGCGCTGACGGCCCGACGAGGGCTGCAACGTTGACTCCCGCATCGCGCCGGGTCGGTTTATGCAGCTGCTATGTTCTGCCGTCGCTCAGGGGGTATGTACTATATATTGCTGGGTACATCGTATTCTAGGTCCAACCCGGGTTCTGTCTCGTTCATCGCTTTCGTCATGATGTCTGCAGGGCCACCTCGGTCTCGCAGATTCCTCATTTTTGCCCAGGCGGCATCGTGAACAACCTCTCCCAATCGCATCTTGCCAAAGTGGCCAGCTGCTTGTCGGCCGCTTCGCCCCTCGTTCCCTGGATGTGTGGGAAGGAACGAACTGCCGATTAATGCTATTTCGTCTGTCCGACAACTAGCCAAGGAAAGGAAAGAAAAGCAAATACCCAGGAATAGAAGTGTAGGCAGACCGTCGGCAGGAGGGAGATCCAAGGCACCAAAACTCAATTAATTGCAAATCATCAGTCTTGAACAGGATTGTGGTGTCGGCGGCTGACGGTGGGCTCAGCTTTGTGCCTAAAATCCGTCCGTTCGTCTGGCTTCCATTTGCAAGTTGCGAGGGCAAGATAAGGTACCAAGGTACGGAGTACGATACGAACGAGGCGTGTGTGCAGCACGGCACGGTATAATAACACTTGGACGAGCCAAGGAAGCAAGTCAAGCCCAAAAAGCTAGGACCGCCTCGATGATGGGCAGAAAAAAGCTTCCAGAACTGCCGTCCAAGTGATGATGGAAGGCGGAACCGTATGGAAGGGAATGGGAAGGGGACAAGCGCAAGAAAGTTTGACCTGAGAGACAGAGACGAGGGGAGGGGGCTCGTGGGTAACTAGCAGAGTTGGCAGGAAACGAACACATGCGTGGTATGGGAAACATGTTTAAGAAAAGGAATAGATGAAAATGTCAACGTCGCCGGGGACGCAAGACGATGCAGGGGAGATGCTCGGGGATGTAGACTTTGTACAGCCTGTCGTCGGGGAAGATTGTTTGCTTGTTTGCTCTGTCTTTTCTCAGCTCAAGCTGTGACACCCAATTTAGGTTCCATTGTGCCCTCGGAGGAGAAGACGGAGGGGGGCACTCCTTACTTTGATGGCATTTTTGCCCAGAAAATACAAGACACCAAGATGCAGCTGCAGCTGAGAATCCTCTGCCTGAGAGATGCTGAGATACCTACTTCGTACATGACCTCCCCGATCCAGCGAGACACTTGTGCATCGAGGGGGTCTCGATGCGGCAGACCAAACCATCTTGGGAGACGGATGCCGTGCGCTGTGGTTAGCGGGATGCAAGGTGCACGAGAACCCGAGAGAAGCATGCATCTCGCGCATCATCCATCACTCACATACGCAGCTTCTGCGGCTGGGGATGGGTGTCCGGTCTATGTATCAAGTTGTCGTGGTGCCGTGATTCGAGGTGTATGTATCCGCATGCAAGTAAGTAGGTGTGTGAAAGATGCAAGTCAGCGTCAGCATCGGCATCAGCAAAACATGAGCATCGTCGACACACACACACACACACACACACACACACACACACACACACACACCCAAAAGTAAGAGTGCCTACCTTACCTAAGATGTCAAAGTGCCGTATCTACCTGAACTGACCTTACGTACATGACGGGGACGCAAGGCAGGTGTCATTGTTAAACGTGGCTGCCGTGAAGCCCAGTACGGCAAGAACGGGGACGTACCTAAGGTAAGACGTGACCCACGGGAAGTGGGGGCCAAAACCCCCCCCAAGCTGGGAAGGCAGTCACGCACCCCAGCGTCAATGGAAAGTGGAAACGCGGCCCCAAAGAAGAAGTCGTGCTTGCCTTGCCCTTTTGCTGTGCCGCTGCCCGCGCCCGCATCCGCTCGCCGCTTCCCCGTAGCCCGTTCCCCGTTTCCCGTTTCCCGTCTCCCGTGTTCGCAACTACCCACCACCCCCCCTCCTTCCTCCGCTTACACACTTCCAGAGTTCCATAGGTACCTATACGCCCTTCCTTTCCGTCCGTTTGTTCAGCCCCCGAACCGTGTCCAAGCTACTACCACCACCACCACCGCCAGCCCGAGAGTCGGCTCACCTTGCCTCGGTACGTACCTTGGGCTCGGTGAGCTCATTGCCTGATTGGGCAACAAGCTCTTTTGCTTTTCGTCTACCCGTCCACCGTCCGCGCCGTCCGTTATTTTCCTTTTTTTTTCTTCGCCCTTTTCTTCAAGCGCACCAACGGGAGGAAAGCAGACAGCTTTGATCGATATATTCCATTAGTATCGTTTAGAAGATCACTCAACGGCCCCAGCGTCGATCAATCTTTTGAAAGGGAAAAAAAGAAAATACTAAAGGAGGGAAAGGGGAGGAGGAGGAGGGGGGGGGGTGTGAGGGGTTAAAGTCAAGAAACACATACCTAGCAGCCCAAAGTCCAAAGCTGGGTCTTGGCTGAACCAAGAAAAAGCAGTTTCTCTCTTGTAATATTCTTCTCAAATGCGCCCCTATGAACGGGAACATTGTCGGCTAGCGCGATAAATCTCATGAGAAGAAGGGGGGGGGGGCTTCTGCGTTGGCGCGGAGCGAGAGTGTCGATACTCTGCCCCGGGAGAAAAAAGAAAAAGGGGGTTGCGTGACGTGGCGAGACGACGCTGCCAACGAATCTGCTTCTTTGAGATCTCTGTCTTCCTTCAAGCACCTTTCCATCTATCCATCAATTTACCAAGGCGCGCGCGTTAGACATTGCTGTCCTGTCAAGACGGACGTTGGCACTCGGAAAAGGTGACGACGACGACGACAGCGGCGCGGGTTTGTAGGTAACCACGGGGCGTGGGCCCTCTTACCCACCCACCCTCCTTCCCAAGTCTTAACAATTCGCGCGCCGTTCATGTGGGATGGATGGATGATGGGATCTGACCTACCGGGTCGATCATAAGCAAGGAGACGTGGGAGAGGTGGCAGAGAAATGTCCATGTACGAAATGGAGATTGGGATGACTCGCATTTGTGGCATAAGCTGACTTTTGTTCGCCCGGGCACCCGGGGCTGCCAAACGATCCTCGTCCTCTCGATCGTCTTTGTGGCTTTTCCCTCGAAAATCATCCAGTAAACTACCTGGGATCCTTTCTTCTTTTTTCCCCTGACGGTCAAGCTACCTTATGTTGCTGAGTACCTAGCTACACACACCTTTTTTACTCGCCTCACTTCCAGTTCCCTTCGGGACCACCCCCACTCCCCCCCCCCCCTCCTGCCCTTTCTCTATCCCCCACGCCCATGAGTTTCTTCTCGTCATCGGGGTTCTGACTAAATCGGCCTTGTATATCAGATTCAGTACGTAACTCAGAGTGGGTTAGAGTACACAATCTTGCTAGGCAACAATGATAAACACACAATTGATCGTCTATTGTTTGAAAAATCTATAGATATCAAAAAGTCCGGCGTGAATAGATCTCATAATCAAGTACAAGCCCGGTCTCCGTCTCAAACATTACGCCATCTCTGACTGGTCCGGCGTCTACAACATGAATAAGAAAAGCAAGGAAAAAACACACACACAGTCAGCTGTAACAGTGAACAGCTGATGCTCTATCAGATATCCGTTTTGGAAACCCATCTTGATGAACAAGTCCCAGTCCCTCCATCCCATTCACGCCATAAAACTTTCAAGGCAATAAACAACAAAAGTGCAAAAACACATAAAAACCCAACGCTGTGGAAAAGTTGATTTTGGTCGGACCAAACCTCCCTCGGGGGAGGTAAAGATGGCTTCCTTTCTGTTGTAATGGTGACTTTGACTCTTCTTTGACACACAACCCTTGCCTCGTCTCTTCCTTCTTTCTCCTTATTCCCATGCAGCCAACTCCCATGTTTACAGCCCATAAGAAATGTTCTGCGTCGGTCGCCCAACTATGCGATTCTCTGAGAGATAAACCATAAAAAGAATACCCAAATCAAAACAGTCCCCTTTTGGAAACCCGCCATCTCCTCCCTCCTATTATAATCTGTATCCGTAGTATAGAGCGAACGAGTTCGAAACAGTGAAACGAAGTGGGTATAAACTGGGTAGCGAGTGTCGATGTAGAGAAATACGGTCGGTCGATTTAAATTCCAAAAGGCCTAACAAGAGATAACACTTTTTCTGTCGTACGCTGTTATAATTCTGTTGTTCTCAGCTCTACCGCGGGCCACCCTCATGGACATGATGATGATGCCCATGATGACCGGGCGGTGGCGGACCAGCTGATCTGCTCGCGAATCCCGTCTCGTGAGGAACACGCGTGTAACTGGGATACAAGGGACCGCCGGCAGGCACGCCCGGTCCCGATTCCTGGCCAGGGTAAGGGCCTTCCATGCCGCGAAGAGGTGGTAGTCGCTCTCCGCCCGGCGCCGTAGACGGGGGTCTCTGCGGCATCATGCCATACGCCGGAGCCTGCATGGGCGGCAGATTTCCAGCTTGAGGGATCGGAGTGCCATACGAAGGCATCGAGAACTCTGGAGGGGGAGCCGAGTCGGTCCTACGCCTACGCGTCGGTCGTTCTACCGAAGATGCCTCGCTCGATGCGTAGCCCTGAGACTGATGGGGCAGCATCGGAGCTTGCGCCATGGGGCTGGTCTCCGCCATAGATCCTCCGCTTCTCGACGACGTTGGGCTCGGAGGTCCGTTCGCCATGTCGCTGAGAGGCGTTCGAAGAACCACATCGCGAAGACGGTTGCGCTCGTCCCGGTAAAAGTCCCTCTCCCGAGCCAACTCCCGCACTCTCGCCTCCAGGTCACGTCCACGCTGTTCCAACTTTTGCAGACTGGCAGTCTGTTCCTGGTCTCTCTCCTTCTTCCTCTGTCTGAAACGTGCCGAAGCCCCGGCATTCCGTTGGCGCTTCTCGTCTGCCTGCTTCGACGCCTGATGTACGTCCACAGGTATGAGAATGCCTCCCTCGTCTCCCGGTAGCCTGACTACCATGCCACCCTCCGCCTTCGTCACATCTGACCGCAGACTTTGGTATAAGGACGTTCCGGCACCAGGTGTGGACCAAACAGGGACGCCTGGTGACTGTGGTGGAGGATAATTCTGGCCAGGAGGTAGCATTGGTTGACCATGGAACTCTGTTGGTCTACCATGAGGATCTCGTGCCATAGGGGGCAGTTGAGGCCGGTCGGGGTTGCCAGGCTGCATGTGTCCAACCATGGGTTGGGACATGGAACGCGGCGGTGTTGTGAGCGTACCCATTCCTGCTGAAGGAGGGCCTAGGGAAGGTGGTCCAGAGAAGGGCAGGCCGGATGCTGAGCGAACTGGCTCCTGGGGACCCTCCTCGCCAGGGTAAGGGCGCTTCAGTCGCGGCGCGTTGGGCGGCAAAAAGGGAGTCTGTGATGGCTCATGGCCTCGCATGCTAGTCTGGCTCACGCTGGCTGCGCGTACTTCTCGAGGGCTGAGAATCTGCCTTGGAGCACCCATAGGAGGGAAGGGAAATCCGCTCTTGGGCGAGTGTTCCGATGGTGTGTGGCCCAACGGCGTTGTTGTCGGGTGGCCAGCTGGAGTACCGGGCTGAGAACTAGGATGTCCTCGACCTTGGAATGCATACTGACGATCACTAGACGTGGTATATTGCCCCGGAGGCATGCCGTACGGGGAGGTCTGACTGTCAGTTGGTCGAGGCTGTGATGACTCGCCAGTGGAGCTTTCCTGTTGCGCTTCGGACGGGTTAATCAACCCTCTGATGCCCAAGGACCGTGGAGCGTGGGAGTGTCTCTCGCCAGCTGCGGAAGGGGTTGTGACAACATCTTGGAACGCTTGACTATCTCGAGATAGCGGACTATGCTGGGAAGTAAAGGGAGCTCGAGGTGGTGATTGCGTCGTAGAGTGAGGTGCAGGTCCCCTCTGTGACATCGAGACCTTTTCCCCTACACTCTCCCGGCCGTTTTGGCCCGAACATTGACCGTTCTGGCCAGTACTCGAAGCCGAGGAGTAGTCTGAATCCGGCCCGGGAGAAGGTTGTTTGGCAGTTTGTGTGTTGTCTTGTCCAAGATACCGGGCAGTGGTATTCAGGCAACCTGTCTGTGCGTTTTCGCCCTCCTTAGCCTCGCGGCTACGTTGGGGGTGGTGATGTCCAGAGAATCGGACAACCGCTGAGATCGCCAGGTTGTCGGCTTTGGTGGGACTAACTGGGTCGAAGCCAACAGTCCCAAGGTCTAGATATCACAATAGGTCAGGAGGTAAGAATGACTTGGTCAACGGCTACAATGGAAGCCGCCCAGTCAAGTCAGTCTTCTGATCAGAGAGTTGGGTAAATCCCGATGTGGTAGATGCAGGCCTGTCGAGATTGATGTCGGTGGTCGTAACAATGACCTCTCGTTGTGATGATAAGCTGCGTGCTTTTATCGACTGTGAGAAAGAGCTCTCCAGATGAGACGCAAGTTTCGGTGGGCAAAGTACTTGGGTGACCGCAAAAGGCCGTGGAGGAGGTTGGAAAGCTGGCTGGAGGTTGGCAGTGCCGATGGTCAGGATTAAATGTGTTGATGGCGTGGGATGAGTGCAGGCCGAACGGGCCACTCATGACTCTGGAATCGATCCCGGGCAATGAGTGGCCGAGAAGAACCTCAGGCACTAGGCGATGGCTGGATCAACTCACTGTGAGTAGCCAACGCGTCCTTCTTCCTTGCTAGAGCTAGTTCTCTTTCTTGCTGGTCTTTTCAGGAACCCAATGATCCAACAGTTTGACGTGTTGTAAGTCTGTCTGCTTGAGAGAAGAGAATCGTCGCAGAACGTGAACCACAAGTGATAGTTGTTGCTAGGTTGGATATTCGAAGCAGCGTAGTGCAGTGAGCCGCGTTCCTCGTGTGAACTGAGTGTTATTTCGATAACCGGGCAGGGTGGGTTGGTGACCAAGGTCGTATTCGATTTAGATGAGCAAGTGTGATCGAGAGGAGTGGTTAGGATTCTCTTGCAAAGCTGCTATGGTTCCAATGTAACCGCTGGTCATTACACGACAGACACTATCAGGCAAGGTCGGGAGGACCAGGTCTATTTGATTTTTTTCTGAATTGCCCTAGCGTAGTTCTCTTATGGCGGCATAGCCTTCTTATCGACCGAGCCCTGGCAACTTGCCGGGGAACCAACGAGCTTAACGTGCATGGGGGTGTACACGGTGGTGGAGGAGAAGGAGGAGAAGAGGAGGATGAACGGCGACATGGATTTGGATACAAGTTGAAGCTGTTGGGTTGTGGACAGCAAATGTGCTGGCCGGGGTACATGGCATGGAATCAAGGGAAACACCAGGGGGGTAGACCCATTCTCGGCGCCATAGGGTGCTCAGACATTGACAGGGCTTAGTCGACCGGTTGCTCTCGTTCGGGTCGAGAGGTAAGTAACGGTACAAGTCCCCTGCTGACATGACGGTACCGACTCTTTCTCCCTCTTTCTCTGTCTTGCTTGCATGCCTTGGCTTTCGCTGGGACCTAGGGAAGTTTGCCTCTTGTTTTTGCTTCTTGTGACATGCCATGCAGAAATACTTTTTTCCAGGAGGGTTAGCCATGCTTGACGCACGGGGCCAAAATGTTCTCGACTAAAGAGCCATTCCGGAACGGCAGTGAGAAACTGGGATGGTGCTTGCTTGTGCTGCCTCGGTCTTCCTAGCAATGACGGGCAGCAGTTAGTGATGCTTCGCAGCTAGCTAGCTGTCCGTACAAATTCACAATGCTCAGCTCAGGCGGCGTCAACTTTCAAGTACGCGAGGAATGACTGCTCGGCCGAGACGTAGCGGGCATCTTGTCATGAACCCAAGGTGCCGCGAGATGACGATGCGCTGCGCAACCGTTATTGTGTCGAGGGCAGCTCCGTAACCTGCAAGGATGGTGGTACGTCTGGCACTCCACGATGCTCATTGCGTATCTTGCTGCCCCCCTCTCGCACAGATGAGTTCGCGTCCGAGGTTTGTGCAGGTAAGGCACTGGGTTCTGTTGTCAGCAGCAGTCAGATATGTCTGAAAGGAGAAGGGGAATGCTCTTACGCCCCAGGAACGGCTTCCGCTGCATGATGCAAGAATCGGGGAGCTTCCCCTCTCATCACCGCCCTTCTGACCGACTTTGGCAGGCCAAGGGAGAAACGCGGGATGTTGGACCTTTCTCTCATCTCGGCCAGTGGAGCGTGGGAGGGAGAAGAAAAATCCAAATCGGCCGGGATTTCGGGGGTCCCTGCGCGGGTCTCCGGGAGGGGGGGGGAGAGAAGAGAGAGAAGTCGAACGGGGGAGTGAAGACGACGTCCTTGGACCAGGCTCATGGAAGCTACTTAGACGCTAGGTAACTAGCCGGCTAGCGTGGTTCGTCGAGCATGGCAAGGCACAGAGGAGAGGTAGACGGTAGCGTGCGGTGTCCCGTATCTGTTCAGAGAATAGTGTGGTGGTAGTGTCCAACGTTCAAGTCCATAGATCCCCGTCGAAGACTTTTCGTCCCAAAGTGCCCGCCTGCCCCGGTGCGGGTAGGATCCAGCGCGGCGTGGGTGATGCTGAGCAGATCGCCATTGTTGCTGCACATCCATTCGGCTCGGCGTCAGTCTCTTGGACAATACTCTATATCTGTACACTCCGTACTGAGCGGAGTACAGAGTGTCCAGGTGATGTATAGTATCCGTAGGCAATGGAGCACCTGGTGGCATCCAAATCTTGTAACGTCCCGGACGGTCCGTCGGTTCTGGTTCGCTTCAGTGTATACCCAGATGCGCAGCTCGTAGCCCCCCAGGATCCAGGTAGTCAGCGAAATCCGCACTCCGTGTGTGGCGGTTTAGCCTTTAGGAAAGTCGATTTGCAAGCCTATGGGCTAATATCGAATCGGCAAGCCGGATAGTGAAGAATGGGGGCCAGTTGGGTTAGCGCAACGGCGGGCCATATGGATGTCTAGTGTATGATTGGAATCCATCTGATCAACGGTGACGTTTGGAATGCCCGTCTGGGGCGGGAATAAAGCTGCACTGATTCGCATGAGTGGCCAAGAAAGGAAGACACGTAAACTTTGAGCCACAACTCTGCGCCGTTATCTCGCAGAAGCCGTTCTGACATCTGTACACCTGAGCAGAAGGAGAGCACTCGAGCGCGTGATTGCACTACAGGTAAGCTGGGCTTGGGGTTCGAGATGAGATACCCAACCCAGATGTTTGTTTGTGTGGGTGTGGGCGTGTGTGCGCGTTCGAGGTGAAGTATGTAGAGGCTGGTTAGTCGATGACTCGTAGTGCAGGTTCTCCCACCGGCGGAATCCGATGGAACGCCTGTCGGTGACGGGTCAGCGATACTCTAATGTTCCGTTGCTTCGCGGCGGTGTCCAGGATGAATGAAGGTTGGGCTGAAGAGCAGAGAAAGAGGTGATCTGATGCGTACGGTGGACGGTCCATGGCAACGCAACCCACGACGATGTTGAGTTATCCAGAAATGACCTAGATACGAACTCATTTTGACAGTACGTATATCCGTACGGAATACTGAGTAATTACTGCCGCGACTTGGGTTGGACAACATTAAACCACAAGGGGAAAGGACGACGAAACCAGAGCTAGGCAAGATGCAAGAAGAAACAATAGCGGAGCTGGACCAGGAGATGGGTAGCAGCCGGTACGGCAGATGCGGAATGATGTAAGTCGCGGGCCTCTTCTTTTGGGTGTACCGGTACATGAACCGTGGTTCCTGACCAAGTTCCTCCGCCTAGCGCACTCTGAGGCTTGCGCACCCATCGGCATGTTTCTGCGAGTTGCAGGGGAGACACGAACGGTGCCAGGCACTTGGAGTGCACATTCCATGGGCATGGTGCTCAATTTACTCTAGGCTCAGGTAATCTACACAGTAGTGTGCCAGTAGCTACTCTCAAGTCTGGACGGATACGGTTCATCGTGACCCAACTCACCTGAATGTCCTGAACAGAAGTGGGCTGCTTTAGACCTCGTCGTCGAGACATGTCTCCCTCCCCCGGACATGTCTCTACCTTATCCTTACAGATACTTCAAAGCATTAGTACGGCAGTGTAGTGCCCACCGGCAGCACGATGCTACTTCCGAGGCGAGATCCGGCTTGCTGCCGATGGCGACAACCCTCCGGCGCTTTAGAGTTCGGTAGGCAGCGTATCGTTCGGAATCTGGGGCAAGCCGCAACGCGGGAAAGGGGAGGCTGGAGCTTGGAAGAGAAGAGGGCGTAGGATGAATGCCTTCAACGGTGTGTATCAGGAACTTGTGCGCCGGACTCTCTGCAGAGTCTAATTGCAAGGAACTCAACTTGGGTATTCTACGGATACTTACCTACGTAGTAGGTAGACCTGCCCTTCCACCCCTCCAAGCGAAGAAAAGACTTGATTGACCTCGCTCTCGATTGGATGTCATGCGTCCTTGGACCCTGACCTTCCGACGGCTTGGGCAGACAGGCGACATACTCCGCTCCTGGGCCGAGCTTTAGGAGGGGAGGGGACGACTCAGGTCACAGGTGTCGACGAGCGTTTGTGTCTTTTCTTGCGCAAGATGGAAAATGAGGAGCTGCTAGCCGTGGGTAAGGAAGTCTATTTGATGACGGAATTTCCTTGCGAGGGACCACCAGGCAAACGTGCAAGCATCACGACGTAGGGCAAGCTGGGATGAAGGTGGTAATTGGAATTGGGGGCGGGAGGTAAGGGAACGGACGACATTCATCGCTTCATTGTGCAAAGTACGAATCGAATCGAATCAAACCAAATCAGGATATGTGATAGTAGTGAGATAATCGAGACACAAATTGAGCCGAAGCCTGAGCATGAGCCTATCTATCGAGTCTTGACAGTCAGTCAAGTGCCGCACCGTTCCTTCATCGTCGATGCCAACCAAAATTGGCTTTTCATCTCTTCATTTTGTTTTTTTTTCCCTCTGGTTCTCTCCCTTTCGTT